ATATAGATTTTTTTTTTTTTTGAGAAAGGTCAAAGGCTAATATATTAAATAGAAAGAATGATACATATAGATTGTGTGGGAGGGCCCAAGCATGGCACCCTGCCCACACGATAACAACAAATGGTTCCAAAAAGAAAAAATACATAAAAATACATGAGAGACCTAAAGAAAAAACCAAAAAGTATCAAACTACATAGTATCAGTTAGCTAGAGAGTGACCCAATTTTGCCTTGCCTCTGCCTCGAGTTCTAGGTAAGGAGTCAGCTAATAAATTGGTAAGATGAGTGTCATTGTCAGTAGTAACCAATGTATCATTCAATAAGTTCTCGAGCTCGAGTCGGCCTCCATTCTTCTTCTTCCTCCTGGAATAGACCTGTCATTCCTCACCCGAAAAATTGTCCACCTGATCAGTAGAATGGTCTAAAGTGTGTCGGACATGTTTAGGTTGTTGAACATTAGAAGCAACTACTTGTTGTACCAGTTGATCTTTTTTTTTGGATCAAAGGAGCACTCTCGTGTGTCTTAGCATGTAAGTGAGCCTTCTTCAAAAACAGTTGGTGGTATAAACACGTTTGGATCTGTACTTGTAGTATGGTGTTCTTCATCAGGAGCTGCGGTGTTGGAAAGAGGATCGGGTTGCACCTTCTCAGCAGGGATGATAGATGGTTGATCTTTAGCGATATCCGCTATATGATGATGCAAACGATAGCAAATAGTAGAATTGTCGCCAAACATACTACAATGAGAGCAAAAAGAAGAGTGTGGTTCTATTTAAATATTTTGTCAATACCTGTTGTGAGTGGTGTCAATCCATACCTCATACGGAGTTGGTTGACTGGTATCTCTCTCAACTAACACACAAGTCACAGAGGGTATAGTGATAGCAAGCATAGAACTATCAACCTTGAGAGGCTTACCGTAAACATTTGCTGAGGAGTAGAGTCAACCTTGAGAGGCTTACCGTAAACATTTGCTGAGTAGACAAAATCTAAGTTGAACAGATGTAATTTTAACCCCAAAAACTTTATCCAAACAGGAATGATAGGGAACTCCGCTTTTGGATCAAAATCAATAGTCCACTTCAAAATTTTCATAAAACGGTTGTCGATCTTGATAACTTTTCGAGAAAAAAAGTGTGTAATCGGCATCGTGAGATAACTGAATAAGTATATGTCAACTATTAAGTAAACTAATATTCCAACTGCCCAACTGTTTCATATCAGAGAATGCTAAGATACTCGTACGCGTAACTAAAAAATGATATTAATCTTGAAGCACCTTAAATGGTATAATTTTTAGACGGTGCTCCTATTACGGTTGTACGGATATAAAATAATATTTGTATGAAATTCATATAGTAAGATTCATTGAATAGTATCTCAAAAGTTTATATTTATTTATTAAAAGCATGAGCATACATATTGATTTTATTTTGTCTTGAGTCACTATAGCTTAGTAGTGTGAGTATTTACTAGCTTCGGTTAGCTTATCGTTATTTTAAACTAATTTTTCAAGTATAATTAAGTAATTTTAAAGATAAGCAAAAGAAGGGAAAATATTTATAGAAAATAAATATGGGAAAGTTTAATTCTCACTGTCTAACCATCTGTTACAGTCTTGATTAATTTCTAGCTTTGGTATGGGTCATGGCAATGGGTCCTACATACTGAAATTACAATGGAGCAACAATGGCTTCTCCATAACATATTCTACACTCGTTGTGACGTGACGGGAAAGTAATGTAGTTTAATTATTAATAGAGAGAGATGCAAAAAAGCAACATCTAAGAAGATGATGGACAAATTGATTCTCACGACTCAGAGGTGTTCTCAGTCTTATTCCTTGACATGGTTGAAGTAGGAAAGACATTGATAGTAGATGCCTCGTAGAGTTTTTGATTGGAAACCAACTACAGAATTAGATGTATGACATGGTGCCCATGGGTTTCTGTCAACTTTTGTAAGGAGGCTGTGACAATTTGATCACAAGACTCGACACAATAGGAACAAAAACACATAATTCCTCACTAAGGATGGGAAGCGCATGGCGTAGAAAAATGTTTGTGGGATCAATTTAAGTGATGACTGCTAATAATAAGACCTAATAGCCGATTTCAGAGCAGCCAGTATAGATAAAGTTTTATGATATCATTTCAATAACTTACCATCATGGCAGCCACTGTTTGGGGACATTCAAGCTTCCCTCATTTTAGATCAAGTTGAACCAACCTTGGATTACTTTGGAAGCATTTAGCAGAATATATGTGACACGAAACCTCAGTTCAGTTAATTAGTGTACCCCCAGAAGATTGGACCGATATGGATGGCTAACTACAAGTGAGGGAAACTTCTAAAGTGTTTAAGAGAGCAACACAACCGACAGTGGGATCCTACTACTCATACAGCCGCAGTTGAAGAACCTTCAACCTAGAGGGTTATAGCAACTTTATTACCTTCAACGTCTCAGATATGATTCCATACTATGAGGAGATGGAAGCTTCAACAAATGAAGTTGAAGCTCCACAAAACCCGGGAGACTAACACAAGTGCTCCCTCCCTGGACCGGAAGAGGGAAACATCAAGGAAACTGGATTGATTCAGCAGAGCAAGAATAGAGGTTCGTCAACGCTCATTTAGGTTTAGTTGTCATACCCCAACTAACCCCCATAAAAGTCAATTGTGGTGTAATAGAGGCGGCTAAATCTCATGAGCACTAGTCCTGACTTGCAGGATCAAGACCCAGTAAGTGACTAACTAGTCTAGCAAAATCACTCAAACATAATTGATATATATTATTTCATAATTCATTAATATGCATATACTCAAAAATGTGAAAATCATATCATCAAAACATATATATCTATATAGAGTTGTTAAATCTAATAAAATAAAAATATGTACACAAAAAATTTTACAAGCTACCAAAACCATGAAATGTAAAAAATGTACAAGTCACACTTAACTACTCGCCATGGTGCGCCTTATCCCCTTCCTGAAAGTCGACAACATAGAATTAGCAGCAACGAGCTCAACAAAATAATAAATACTAAAATAAAATTTTATAAACAGAAAAGAAACAACATGCATGTTCATATGTAACTCATGCGCATGTACACAACACATGTCACAACATAGTATAATCATATAAAACATTTAAGAGAAAATGCATCCAATGTAAAAAAATATGATAACTGTATAAAACATGTAATCATCTATGCATGTGTAATCATAAGCATATTCATAAAAATAATCAATCCAATCATAGAAATGTCACTTACAATTGTATAACCCTTAATTATTTCCATGTTATTTATATCATTACGTTGTCACACAGCCCAAATGTCACATTAACTATTGATAAAGGTTGGGCCCTCCCAATATATCAATTATCAATAGTCATATGTTACCAACGTTTCCCTCCGTTTCATCACCGTTTGATCCCAAAAATATCCTAAGTTGTCTCTATCAGAATACCAGGAATTGGGAATCCTATCATTCTTTAGAATTCATACTTGTATGTATTCATATAATATCACTTGTGATAGTTTTAAATAATAATTCATATAACAAGCATTCATCTTAAGCATTTCATACATCATTAATAAGAATCATAGTAAATGAATATCTATGTTTGACACTACTTCTGTATAAAATATGATACCTACGAGCAATGATTCATAGAAATGTTCATCAGATTCATAACATGGTAAAAACATGCATTGTAAGGGACAAATCAAATTTGCATTCATACAGTCTATGAATGTATTCATTCACAATATGCAGAAAATTTTAAATGAAATTGTGTCAACAATTAATCACATGAAAACCTATAGAGAGATATTTTTTTTAAGTTTGCACATAATTATTTTACATGATTTGACAGAGCAACCCTACGACTAGTTTCCCCAAACACACATAGAACTCATTGCATAGTGTAAACAATCTAGAAATCACAATTTCAAGAAATCTTGGCTTATCTCATGATTTAACCTTAAACATAATTCACAAATTCTTACCTCAAATGGGTTTCCTTGCATAAATCTACCCTGAAAGTTTTTCTATTTCCTTCCTTCCTATCTTCCTTCCACTCTTCTTCGTCGATTTCCTATTAACGGTCCAATCCGAAAGACAAAATCATAATCACATCTTCAGACACTTCACTGCCTCTCACTACAGTGATGAGGAATGAAAAAGTACACTGGTTCATGGCAAATGTCAAAAAAAAAAGCATAAGAAATGTCACAAATATCTTTAAAGGTCTCCTAACCAATAGGATTCTCCACAAAGCTTCCAACCACAAATTCCAGTACTCTATCGTCATCAGTTATGCACCTGCTATAGGGATCAAGCTGCGGAACCTTCTAGGAGTGCGAAACCGAGAACAATAGAGGGAAAAATTAAGAGAAATGCGGCAATTTAATGTTATCCCATCAATTCTCAGCTACTCGATCAATCTCACAGCTGATAATGGTGAAAAAAAGTCAGTGGCTACAGTGATGATGCGGGAAATTAGGAAATTTATTCGGATTAATTAAAATTAACTAACCTGGTAACCTCATAATTTTATATCTTCTCATATGTTAAATTCATGTTTGGTGCTATATATCAAATTGTTCAATTCGACATGTAGAACTTCATAAAATTGCTTCGATTGAATTCTGAGAGATTCATAATTTGAGGTATAGCTGGAATTTGTCAAATTGGGTGTTACACTAAGGCTTGATGCCCAATACGAGTGGGGTACCCTTTTGTTACTCTGGAATTATATATATGTACTTTGTTGAGTTTAGGTGACTTTTATGTATGTTTTTTTCAATATAACAATCTATGTCTCCGATTCTCTCTTATAGGGCTGCATCCAAAGACAGTGTTCCGGTTAAAGCTTGTCAGAGGTGGAAGAAAAGACCTCACAAAAATGAGGTCAACAATCCATCGCTTCATTGCCGCAATCGATGCAGCCATCCAAGACAGCAATATTTATTGTCTTTCCTGCAACCCCTCTCTCCCCAAGGTCACCATCCCCTCTCGTCACTGCAGGAACCACTGGAAAGCCTCCTTGCTGTCCTCCTGCCCTTACCACCCCTCCAGCCAGCAATTCTCCCTCCCCAGCCAATCACACAACCGCCAAATACTCCCTTCACTGCTGCTCCTACTGTCCTTGCGGGTCAGCAACTCCCCACCACGCGAAGCCACCCCTTTACCCTGCAGTCCAGCCACTCCACTGCAGCCCCATCTTCCTACCGTACAAAGCTCCACCACTTCACATCTTCACAACCTCCTACTCACCACCAACCTCCCATACATCCCTGCATAACCACTCACCTTCCCCTTTGGTATACCTCTAATTTAGTTGAATATTGTGTTTGGTATCATGATTTCCATATTTATTGGTCGTAATTGTCTTTTTTTTTTTCAGTAACAATATATGTTACCTATTGTTATTTTCGTTAACTCCGGCATCAGGTGATATGTATGTAAATGCACCAATATAAATAAGCTGAACAACCAGAAATACAATTTCATTCAGGAAACCTAATACCAGAGAATTTAAACTGCATCCAAACAATCTACGAGTATGGGTATATAAGAGCTTACTAAGCGCCAACCTGAAGAATTATTTCTCAGGGAAGTGTGAAGATATAAATGGTGGCATTGACGTGTGCGGAGTTTTGTAACAATAGCCTCTTCTGTAAGCCCATCCTCCTCAGAAAACGTTTTCATGGGTTCAAGCACTGATATCATGCAATACCCTTTTGCAGACCGTGATATACCTGCCAAAACAAAAGAAAAGGAAAATATAAGACCTAATGTTGCTAGAACGCCATGGAACGGAACACTTTTGAAAGTAACTAAAAATATATACCAAAAATGTTCCTGGAACGGAACACTTTTGAAAGTAACTAAAAATATACACCAAATACATGCACTTGAATAACATATCATAGGAGTGCTAAAAAAAAGGTGGAGCCACAGAAAATGACAAGCTTTTCCAAAAAAACATTAAATCAGGCAACACAGATAATTACAATGCACTGAAAAATAAAAAATAAAAAATAAAAAGGCCTGCACCGGTACAAGTAGATACACGCAACCAACACAGATAATTACAATGCACTGAAAAATAAAAAGGCCTGCACTGGTACAAGTAGATACACGCAACAAAAAAAAAGAGATCTAAAAAGCAAACCATTTTCCTAAAGAACTGGGCAATAAGTGCAGTTGCTATTCCTTTCTCATAGTTTCTTCGCAATGATTCAGTTCGACTATACCTATACATAAAAATGTGTCAGACTGAATTTTTCAGCTAGACGACCCAAGGCCAGGATGACCCAAAGCCTGGACGAACCGAGGCCAGGATGATACAAGCCTAGACTACCCAAAACCTAGACGACCCGAGACGAGGACTACCTGAGTCTAGGAAAACTCGAGGCGAGGACGAACCGACACTTGGAATACCCAACTTCTAGACGACCCGAGGTCAGGACGACCTGAAACCTGGACAACCTTAGGCAAGGACAACCCAAGGCTAAGAAGACCCAACATGTCCGAGTTGAAGGCGTATACATGCAAAATACCTAAAATAACATATACAACCCTCATTAAAAAAGGGTTAGGAATATAATATATTCATATTGTAATATATTATGTATAAATAGGGGATCATTTCATGTAAAAGGGACAGTTTTTTTTTCTTATTTCTCCCATGTATCGAAAATATTTTATTATTTTAAAAGGGTTACAAGAGTTCGGAATACCCCCAATTTGTTTCAAAAAGAGTAGTTATGCCTCCCTCTGTCTCTACCCCCCTCCCTCTCTCCTTTCTAACACTTTAATCCCTTGAGATATGATTCAGGGATAAATCTGGATTCAACATCCAAAAAGCTGTGGTGAGTGTGGATTATGGCACCAACAAGAAAAAAGCAACACAAATAGAACCAAGAATTACATTCGATCGAGCTAGACCTAATCGATGCAATTTAGACGACCAGCAGCCTAAACAACTAGCAACCTGGAAAAACCACGATTTGGACGACTAGCAGCCTAGACGATGACCAGCATCATGGACGATCAGCGGTCTGTACGTCTTGTGGCAATAAAATGCGCTTTTGTTCCAACTCATATATCTCATTCATAAAATTGATATGTAAAACTTTTCTAATTATGTGCATAATCTTAGGTCCGACTAAAACTCGAAGAACGTTGAAAGTTCTATGTAATAGATGGTCAAAATCTGACTAATGCTCGGGAAACTGAAGGAGTTCATGTGTTACGAAGTTTAACCAACACTCAAGGAACTTGAACCCAAGCAGTAAGACCGACAAAAGCCAAATGTTTGATCAGCGGAATGCACAAAGAACTAGCCAGCAACGCTCATGCATCCTGACCTGTCTTCAAACTTGAATCAGATAAGGCTCTGGAAGTGCTTCCCTACCCAATAGTGGTAAGCTCCACAAAATGTACCGAAGAAATCACCCCACGAGTCGCGGCAGTCAACCCCACAAAAACAACGACAAGATCTGGTTAATAAACCTAACATAAGGGATAGTCCATCCAAGGCGAAGATCCGACCAACCAGCTGAGACTCAGAACATTAATACACGAGTCGAGCATCAACAACCCAAAAATCGAGGACAGCGCAAGTCGTTCGATCGTTACAAAATCCTCAAAATGACCGATAGCAATGCAAAACATCTAATTGGTATTTAATACCAAAAACCGACCCATCAATCATCATAAGTCTAGTGTTTGTCACAAGCAAAATAGGACACCTAATAAGAGAAAAAACACAAACAAAAATAAAAACGGAAAGAGAACTTCACTTTATTTTAAGGTTGAAAATTTTGTATAGAATTTCCTATATGTTTAATCGCAAATGTTCAAAATGAAAAGAAAATTTTTGTAGGTTTCAAATAATGCCGACAACCAGGTTAGATCAGTTGATTGACAAATATCGACCAAGCCAGACACCAAGAAAGCCTAGCTGACCGAATCAGTCCTACCGACCCGAAGATCTTAAGAGAGCACTTCAGAGTCATCAAAAAACGAAGGAAGTTCATTTTTTCAATTGTTGATTAGGAGTAGACCTGATAACATTTTTTGCATTAAAATTCCCTCACTCTTATGGCAATTTTGTCTTCAAGAAGAGAATCGAGGAAATAAAATATGTAAATAAAAAATCTGACAAAATAACCCGAAGCTTGAACGATCCTAAGCCAGGACAACCTGAAGCCTGAGCGACCCGAAGATTGGATGACCCGAGGTCAGGACGACCTAAAGCCACTACTTTTTCCTAAGTGTTATATTTTCTTTTTTTTTTTTTGGACTCCAGAACTCTTAGTAAACCAAAGGAAAAATCAAAGCATTAATTCATTTTGTTGAATGGCTAGTAAATGATTTTGAATCTAGATAACTATACTTGAACTCAAAACTTAAGGCTAGTGTTATAGTGAAAACATAATTAAATGAATGTAGAGTATTGAAAAATAAATGTAACGCACGCATGCACGCAACAACAACAACAACAACAAAACCTTTTATCCCACTAAGTGGGGTCGGGTACATGAATCATTTTTCTCCATTGCGTCCTATTTAGTGTCATATTTTCATTTAATTAAAATAAATTAAGATCATTTTTTATACATGCTCAACAAGTATTTTTAGGTTTACTTCAGCCTTTCTTAGCATAAGTTGAATCTAAAATAAAACATCTACTCTTATAAACATCTACTCTTATAATCGGATCATCAGATGATCAATGTTTAATGTGACCAAACCATCTAAGACGACTCTGATTTTGTCTGTCGCTGGAGCTACACCAACCCTGTCATTGATATATTCAATTCGCATTTTGTCTCTAAGTGTAAAGCCGCTCATCGACCTAATCATTCTCATCTCGGCAACAGTTAACTTAGTTTTTTGCTTCTCTTTTAAAGGTCAACATTCAACGCCATATAGCACTGCAGGTCTCACCACCATCTTATAAATTTTTCCTTTCAGTCTAAGCAGTACATTTCTATCACAGAATCGGCCTGAAGCATTCCTTCACTTCAACCCTTGCATTCTACTAATAACATCCCTATCAATATCACCATCACGTTGAACAATAGACACGAGATATCTAAAGTGTTCACATCTTTTAATAATTTGATCATACAAAGTTACATTTCTGTCACTAGAGATACTACTACTAAATTTATATTTCATGAATTTAGTTTTAGTTCTACTCGAATGAAGGCCTTTAGACTCTAAGGTAGACCTCTATAGTTCAAGTTTTTCCTGAGCTTTTTCTCTTGTCTTATCCACGAGGACATCATCAACAAAAAGCATACACCAAGGTACATCCTCCTGTAAGTGTCCAGTAAGACCATCCATAACTGAAGCAAAAAGATATGGGCTTAAAGCCAATCCCTGATGTAAGCCAACAGAAATAGGAAAATATTTGGCCAATCCTCCTTCTGTTCGAACACAAGTAACAGTTCTACTATACATATCTTTAATGACTTGAATATAAGTCATATCAACATCTTTATTCTCAAGAACTCCCCAAAAGATATCTCTTGGAACCTTATCGAAAGCTTTTTCTAAATCAATAAAAAACATATGTAGATCCTCCTTATTATCTCTGAACTTCTCCATCAGATCTCTCAATAAATCCAAATTAATTATGAGAAATCTTTGTAAGACGTCTTAAACTATGTTCAATTACCCTCTCCAACAATTTTAAAGTATGACACATCAACTTAATCCCTCTATAATCGGCACACTCTTGTGCATCCCCTTTATCTTAAAAATGAGGACCAAAATACTCTTCCTCCACACCTCAGACATCTTTTTAGTTTTTAAAATAATATTAAGGAGTTTACTAAGCCAAGAAACTCCCAAATCTCCTAAATATTTTCACACTTCAATTGGGATATCATCAGGACCTACAGACTTTTCACCCTTGGTTTTCTTTAAAGCCTCCTTAACTTCCTTTTTACTAAAGCGACGGTAAAAATGTAACATTTTATTATTATTAACGATATTAAAATCACTAAGGTCGGTCATATTTCAATGAGATTTCTTTCCAGAGTCAGTTTCATCAAACATACTCATTGGATGTGCCTAGCAGAGTACAAGTGGGAGAAGCAAGTTACAAATTTAATGGCTTGAGGCTTGGTTTGTGAGAATACATGTCTATTCGCAGTTTCAGCTCTGATTGTGCAAAAAATTAATTATTTATTCTATCACTGCAAGCTTTGGGATGATTATTATGTTTCAAAGTTGCTTGGAATAAGCGTGAGCATAGATTTTGTAGTGGAGTTGCCTTAGACAGCCAAACAATGACATTATTATGATGATGGTAAAATGATTCCAGCAGATTCTTAAGAAAAAAAAAACAAAAATCCTACTTGAGGAGAATGACAGAGAAGCTCCTAGTCAAAAAGTTTTGTGCTTCAGGATCGTTGAATCCAGCAGAATCACAGAATCCCGCGATCTGAAACTTCTATAATCACGGGAAGCCTAACCGAGCGAATTATATTATGTTGCCCAATTCAGTGAGAATTAGTTCCTTTCATTGCTTATTTCCTGATTTGTTCTTACTTCTAAGTAGGCTATTAGCTTGAGGGATTTTATATATTTTCTTTTTCTGTTTTGAGAGACTTTTGATCGTTGTTATTATTTTTGAAGAATTTATTCTTTGTTTTATGCTCTTCGAAGTGTTGTATCATCTTCCTTTCATAAGTTGTTTACTTGTATCTTGCTCAAGAATAGGTGGTGTACCCTTCTCACCAAACCGTTCAACCATTGTCCTCAACCCAGACAACAACTAAACTCCCCCAATTTGTTGTCCAACAATAGACTTTACCTAATCTCTTCTTCCAAACAATGTCGACTGCCCCTATCCTCCCACTGGGACTAGTCCACAACTACCTCCCTAAAAAAACCATTTCCTAATCACCTTCTAGGAGCCCTAGAAGGGCATCAACTACCCCCAACTTTCATACCTCACCAAGGACATCTAGATTAATTAAGCACCACAAACATTAAGATCATCATGTGGAGATATGAATTTACCAATGGATGGGCAAGTTAGCGGCCTAGTTGAGAGTAGGTGGAATTGAGGGAGCATCATAGTTTCAATTTTCAAATGATTCATGGAGTTTTAAGATTGCAAGCTTGATAAAAGAAAAACCATACATCTATGAAGCACTATTGTCAACACAAGATAAAACGTAGCTTTTTACCAAGATGGCAAAGGCTTGGGAAAAGATAATATAAAAAATTAACATGGAAATGGAATGGGAAAAAATAATATAAAAATCAACATAATATCCATAAGACATATAAGGTTTACCAATTACAGGCATAGGTTCCGGAAAATCGACATCATGATCAGCTGCAGAAAGCCCAAAGACGTATGGGCTACCAGGATGTGCATGGCTGCAAAAGAAAGCAGTAATTTATTAAAACATTAATATGAGATAGAAATATAATTATTTTTATGCTAGTATGCTTTGCAGGAAAGCCTGTGGTAGATGTTCAGAAATTACTCAAGCAAGGTTGGCCTAGAAGCAAAGTCAATTCTCAAGTTCTGCGATAAAAATGCAGACTATTCTGCCAACCCCTAACTCATTGCCAAACACTTTATAGGGGAAGAAAACAAAAGTAATTTTTGGAACCAAGCTTCACAATAATTTAAAAAGCATTGATACAGCAGTCGCCCTTAGTTCTGCTCTAATTATACCCAATTATAAGAATGTTTGTCAGAAAATACTACACTAAAGAAACTAAAAACTCATTGAGGAAACAGAACAGGTATGATTATTTTTCCTTTGGTCTCTTATAGTTAATGACTAAGCAAATTATGGAAATGAACTTATTAGTCAACAACCAAGAGTGTTTTCATATGTTCTCGTAACATGCACTAATAACTATTTTCATTAATTAATTATTCATATTGATTATGTAAATTAGATATAAATAAGATTACTAGTGATAAATTAAAGTTATAATTAAGGTAACTAAAATTTCAAAAATATTAAAATATTTTGATAATTATGTGCAGGATAAATAACAAACTTAATAATTAACAAAGTAGACAAATCTTAGATTTTATTAAAGCTACTTATAAACTAATTATAGCTTGCAAAATTATCATTAAGTTAGGTTATTATTTTATCATAATAGTATGACCTAGTATGGTAAGCTAAATAATAAACTAGTTAAAAATAATTGTCCATTAATTATTTCATTAAAGTAATTGGATATGAAATAAACTTTACTTAAAATAAGTAAAATTTTATCAGCACTTTGATAATCAAGCCTAAAATGATAAATTAATAAACAAATAGGCCAGAGTAATTGATATTTGAGGAACTATTTAGGTTAACTAAAGATTAATTCAAGTTTTTAATTAAATTTTAAATATTTTTAATTTCAATTATATATTATTGAGAGCTTAAATGATAACATGATATTTAATCAAAATCAGTCTATCAGTGATGCCAAAATCTTACGAAGTACAAAACAAGCCTAACAAAAAAAAGAGAAAAGAAGAAAAATAAAGAGATAAGCTTAGAGAGAACAAGTAGATTTGACCTTTAAGTAAATCAGAATAAGTACAAATCTATCAGCTCATACTCTATTACCAAGATTGGTTAATGTTGTAATAAATAATAATTTATGCCAATTAAATACAGATTATTTTTCTATTAATCTTTCATTTCCATATGCATTTTCTACTTTTATTTGAAACAAGAAAAAAGATAAAACATGAAACATGATTTTTTTTTTAACAGAAAACAAAACAAGCAAAACCAAATCAAAAAGAAAACAAAACAAACCCTAATATGGCCTCTGTTCTATAAAAGTAGCAAGAAGGTGTGGGCCAGAGGGATAACCACTAAGGCATCAACAATAAAAACACCTGACAACGAAAAATATTTTAAGCAAGCATAAACCATATTGAGGGGATTAGTGCAGTAATGAGAAATTGGCCTGAATTTCAATGCTTAATAAATCTAAAAAAGGAGGAAAACAAGAATCAATGGATACAATATAAAAATAGACAATAGTGACAATGCCCACACAAAAGGCCCTAAAAAAGAATAAAATTCAACATATTAACTAGGACAAAGAAATTTTGCTACAGCCTTTTTCTTAGTTACATAAATAGGCTACACCTTTCAACTATGAAACATAAATAAACGCATAAATGTCGAGTGATATTTTTCACTCAAGGAAAAATGAAGTAATCACTAACAAATAATTACCCAGAAATAAATCGACCTTTACGTGAACGAGCTTGAATGGGAGCTTGCACCTCTTCAACAATGCACTGAAAAAGGAATTAAACATTACCAAAAATCAATAGTGGCTTTTACAGGGGGTTTAAATTTATGTAAGAAGTAACTACAAACAAATGCATCCATGAGATTAGAAAAGGAAACTAGTCACTAAACATAATATGATCATCATAAAACACAAAATAATACAGCATTAAGCATATAGAATACGATAATTACAAAAGCTAATGGAAGCTACACGGAATTTCTGGTCTCTACATTCAATGTATAATAAGAATCTACTTCAAGGAAAAGCCACCGACTTGAATACAAGGCATGAGGGTATAGCATTAATGTTTCGTAACTAAACTATGACATGTTCACTTGTTATCATTCTTTTTGTAGTTGAGGCATGAGGGTGTGGCATTAATGCTTCATAACTAAAATATGGCCCGTTCACTTGTTATACTTCTTTCGCAGTTGAGGTTGAGATATAGTGTCACAATGTTACATAAGATTTTAAATGCAAAATTGTAATCTCATAGAGTAAAATGAGTTGAATCCTTGAAAGAAAAGCACTTTTATTTTATTTTTTATTTTTGTCTTCCGAGATTAAATGTCTTGCGAACTTGAACATCAACAATACTAACATGCATTGTGTAATAACTTGCAACTATATATATATTATTTTTTTATTTTTCTCTAAAAAAGCCCAAGGGCTAATATATTAAAAAGAAAACGATACAGTTGTGTGAGTAGGCCCAAAAGAAGACACCCAACCCACACGGTACAACACACACAAAAATCCCAAAAAAAGAAATGATACTTATAAGATCAAAAAAACCAAAACCTAAGGACGACCCAATTTAGTCATGCATCTGCCTCTAGTTCTCAAAAAACCTAAGGACGACCCAATTTAGTCATGCATCTGTCTCTAGTTCTCAAAAGGGAGTCAACTAACAAATTGGTGAGGTGCGTACCATTATCTGAAGTAACCAAAGTATCATCCATTAGATTTCTGAGCTCAAGTAGATCTCCATTATTCTTCTTTCTCCTGGATGTGTAAACCTATCAATCCTCATCCAAAGATTGACTCATTTCTTACTCGTTCGGATTAGGTGGTAGAATCATAGTAGAAAGATTGTCAATTGTTGTAACCACAATAGGTTCTAATGTGTGTGAAGTATGAGTAGTCACCTCTGCACCGGATACTTCCTGAAAATGAGGAGCTGCAAGGTTCTCCTGATTATCGGTCCGAACACTATTCTTTGTAGGTAAGGATCCTTCAGTCTTGTTTTCAATAAGGTTGCCCAGCATAGCCATCCGGCATCACATCAATCGCAGAAACAGAAACAGTATTGTCGGGGTGGGGGTCCACAGGGGCAATTAAATCAGATACAAATTCCTGTCTTGTGGTAATTTCCTCCACAGGTGGAGCAGATGTGTCCAGAGCAGTGGGGTTAGACCCATCCTTATTCAATTGAGCTTTAGGTTTCAAATTAGGATAGAGCCTGTGACATTTATCAAGGGTATGCCCAAATATCTTACAGTGGGTACAATTTGTTGTCAATATCCATTATGAGTTGTGTCACGCCAGACTTCAATAATATCAGGTAAAATAATACCCTTTTTCCACAAGTATTCTGGCTACAGAAGACCTGGTTAGATTGAAGATAGGTAGATCTAGTTTCATAGGATCCCCAAGTATGGTCCCAATAGAGTACCCAATAGAGTAGAGAACTTTGATGATTAAAGAAATGCAGCTTGAGACCAGGTAAACTAAATCATGCCAATACAGTGGGAGATTCATGATTTGGTTCAAAATCAGGAGACCACTTGAGTAACTTCATTAACTTTCCTGCAATGTTAAGATATTTTTTAGAGAAAGTCCGAGCGTAGTCTTCAGTCACGGTTTACTGAATCAATACATGTCTCTCATCAAAGAGTCTCACTTTCCACTTGCCTACTAGTTTGAGATCATCAAAACCCTTTCTGATAACTTCCAAAAATGGGTGTCACCACTGAAATTTTTCAATAAGAACAAACTTGCAGTTCTCAGACAGAGTTGAAATTTCTAAATCAGAGAAAAAGAGCGTTGTTTTCCCACCTTTTCTACTCGCTTTCTTAACAAAAGAACAATCACCTATACCATCACGACAATCCTTATAACTTGAGAGGAAGACAACAGTAGACTTCACCATATGATTACCCACCACGTGGGCGAATAAGGCTTTGTCAGGTTCAACCGAAGGAGGGAGCACCAGCAAAGCAGGGACAGTCCACTTGCTACGATGTTCCGATATAAGCGCAGTAGGCAAAAAACGGCGTCAAACCGCAAAAAGCGAGCCAGAGAACGAAACCTTCAGCCTGTAGACGACGAAGCCGAAGGCCAGAAGACGCACCAGAAACGCAAACCCTTCAATTCTGTTTCGAGCACGAGAGAGAACGAAACGTCCGTGCCCAGAAACCAACCTTCAACGAGCGGCAAGCACGACGAAGGACAACGGACTAGGTGCAGCATGACGAAGCTCTCTAAAACAAACGAAGCACTAAACAAGACGACGGAAGATGAAACAGAGGAAGTCAGGCGCGAACTCCTTCGAGCATGAAGTCACCGTAGCAGACGCTAGGGTTCGCCGTGAGTCGAAACCCTAGCAGAGCCGATAGCAGGAGAAGACGACGCCATTAGATTATATATATATATAACTATTTAATATGCGTATTCTTCCTTCTTGCTCGGCTCTGCTAGGGTTTCGCTCGATGGCAAACCCTAGCAACAGTTACAGCTTCGTTGATTCCTCTCTGACGTTTTCGTGCTCGATTATGTTCGTCTCCCCCGCTTCTTCTCCGGCTCTGAGATGAGGCTCGTCCCCCGTCTTCCTGTCTCGAGATTTCCAGGCTCTGTGGCTCCTCTACAGCCGGTCTCGCGGGTACCACTCAAGTGTTCTGCGGCTTCGTCTCGCCGGTACAACTCGTGATTTATGCGGCTTCTCTGCGCTCGTCCCACCTGTCTCACAGCATCCTCTCTTTTTTAGCTTCGGCTATTTCAACCAGATTTTTCCCTCATTTATCAGAGCTGATTTGTTTTCTAAACGCCACACCTACCTTTGAGGATAGCTTCGGACAAATCGTATGCAGTTGCCCTTGCGGGTGTCCGTGCCTCAGGCACACCAACATCGTCATGTTTCCCTCCTTCGTTTGAGAGGGCGGAGGACATCAAGAAACCTGGTAGAATAATGAAAAATTTGCCATCTTTTTTACAGAAGCTGAAGGTATTCAACTTGCTTCCTCCTGTCGTCTGAATTTAGTTGGGAAATTTCTATATAGTCATCCTAAAATGGAGCTCATTAGCAAAGAATTTGAACTTATGCGCCTTGTTTGAGAATGAAAAATTGGAATATTAGATGGGAGACACATTATTATTCAAATTAGTAATGAAGAAGATTACATGCACTTATTTGCTAGAAGAATAATATGGATTGATAACAGAGCAATAAAGATTCTGAAATGTTCTGTAGATTTTGACCACAAACGGAACCGTCAATCATTCTGATTTGGATTCGTCTCCTTGGACTGAAATTTTCAATGAAGATTCTGAAATGTTCTGTGGATTTTGACCACAAATGGAACCGTCAATCATTCTGATTTGGATTCATCTCCTTGGACTGAAATTTCATTATTTTTCTCAAAAAGTATAGTACTCTATTGCCTCAGCTTATGGGAAGCCACTCGAAGCAGACATTCCTACTTTTAATATGTCTCGTCCTTCTGAAGCCAGAGTACTTGTTGAAAGAGACATCACTTCATCCGCTTTTGAGGAAATCTGGTTGGACACACAACACCATGGATATTGACAGAAGGTAGAGATTGAACATTTTCCGTCGTATTGTTCGAACTATCGTATGTTCGAACACTCCAGTTCTCAATTGTCACCATCTACACCCCCAACTCAGGCTAAAAAAGCAAACTGCTCCGTTAAAGGTTGTGATTTACACTCCTCCTGGCTCCTCCTGATCAGCTCCAAGTTTTTGACACTATTGATCATCAGAAGGATACCCCGGACGACGCCACTATCCCTGCAGTCAATATGACAATCATACAGTCCCCAGGTGTAGCTTTCTCGTCTTTGGAACCCCCTATCGTGGGGGAGAGGGAGTTTCCTCATACCCCGCCTGCCCTATAACCTATCACTGATAATAAATGTGGAAATACTTCTACTGCTTCACTAAGATGTTAATGTTACTCAGGCTCATGGGGATCATGATGTGCAACGACCTCCACCTGTCCGACCACCTTTGGAATCTACTAATCAGATGAGTCAATCATCGGATGAGGAATGCAGGTCTACACATCCAAGAGGAAGAAGTAGAATGAAGATCTACTTGAGCTCAGGAATCTGATGGATGATAGTTTGGTTACTACGTGCAATGGTACTCAACTTACCAAATTATTAGCCGGCTCACTTCCGAGAACAAGAGGCAAGAGACTAAAGTGGGACGTCCCTAGCTCTTTTATGCTCTTTTGTGGCTTTTTGGTTTTTTACCTTTATGTATCTTTGCTTTATCTGAATTTTGTGTGTTGTATTGTATGAGTTGGGCTTTGTTTTAGGCCCTCTCATATAACATTTTTGTATCTTTTTCATATTAATATATTTTTCTAATATATATATATATATGTATGTATATATATATATACATACATATATATATATACATACATATATATATATACATACATATATATATATATGTATGTATATATATGTATGTATGTATGTATAACTATTTAATTTAAAATAATAAAAATAATATTATTATTAAAATATAAATAATTTCCTATAATTATTTAAATTAATTTACTATAAATAATTAAAATTTTTATTATAAACTAATCATTTATAAAGCAAATTACACTATTTAAACACCTGACTATATAATTGTTTAATTTTCATATGCGTCATTGGTAATAATAATGACAATAAAGAGAGTCAATGACAAATGGGAAACCAAGCAAGCGTAAGATAAAAGGAGAGGATGCAAATGGTTTAGGTGTCAAACATAGAGAGCAAAAAAAAAAGAGAGAGAGAGAGAAAGAAACTCAAATTGATCAAGAGTGGGAGCGTGTAAAATGAAATAGGTGTGTAAGAGGCTGAATAGTCGAGTTGGCACCATCCGCACAAACCCGTATTCAATTTTTTACACCAAAAGTTGAATTTTTTTTTCAGTCAAGCTAAGAGGTAATATTTCAACTAAGTTTTCATTTTAAAACTTATAAAGCATAGATTTAGTCAAATCTCAAACAGAATTTTCAGTTAGTATCATTATGAAGAAATTTAATTGAGATTTCCTTTGTTATTTCCTCAAACTAAGAAACCTCAATTTTAGTTTCCTTGCTACAAATAATTTTGGTTAGGGTTTCTGTATATGAATTAGAGAAGTAAAATAAATTAGTGAAGATGATTTGCAATTTTTTTTGGAATAAAAGAAGAAAAATATTGAGGTATGCATATATAACTTTGAATTTTAGTGATGAAATTGAAATTATCAACTTAATTAAATTAAGAAATTTTGGCATATATTATATGTACTATATTATAAAAAAATTACTATAAGATGTAATACTATTTTATAAATATTAAGATTTGATAAATATAACAAATTGAAATTCAATGGAAAATTTACAATAAGTTGGTTAACTAAAATCCAAAAGAATAAATTAGAATTTATTGTTATAGAAAGTTTGTATATTTAAATTATGAAAAATACTTAGTTATTAAAAATAATAACTTAATAGGTTAGAATAAAATAAAAAAATAATAATTTATTTATGAATATAATGTCAAGTAATAAATTTGATACAAGAAAAATTTTAATATTTTAGAACTAAGTACTAAGAAGAGAGTATATGTTAAAGAGACGTTAATATACCTGAAGTCGAAAGATATAGAAAAAGTTTTATTTAGTTTGATCATTAAAGATATATTAGTAAAATTAAAATTTATCTAACATATATGAATTAATTGAATTGAAAGAATTGAAATTTAAAAAACACAAGTTAAACAATAAGTTAGGGATTTCAAACATTAATGATGATTTATATCATTAAATAAAAGATAAATATCATAAATGATAATCATAATAGTTATATCAATAGAACAACTTTCAGATATATAATTAAACAGAAGAATGAAAATGCTTATTCTGTAGCTAAATAAGATGTAATGTTAAGAATTTATGCATACAAAATTTGTTGCTTTTAGTATCACACTAAAGAAAGCGACATTCAAAGAATAAGTGACAAACTAGTTTTGCAGAAAGGTAGATAACTATGTTTCTATTTGTAGTAAAATTTTCGTTCATCTAAATTTAATGCAATTACTATTATGGTCATTTATATGCAGAGTAATGATCTTAAAAGTAAAATATGCTATTGAAAAACATCTCAATTAACTTTATCTCTCATACAAGGGGTCCTCATATTTGATATGAATGCTATCTAGTATTTTTTATATTTCAAATCATGTTGATTATTATATTGATATGTAATGAATATTGCTGAAAATAGATGTATGATGACAGGAATGCAAAGATTATGTTATATAAAAATAAAGGCATGTGTGACATGAACGATCGAGTTCGCCCCCTTAATATACCAGTTGGAGATGTATGTAGCCCAAAAAGAGAACTTAACAACCCTTAAGAAATAGATTTGAAAAAAGTTACTGACATAAATGTAACTTAAAAGTACAATTTAGATAGTTTTCCTGTAATAAGTGAATTATTTAATAAGATAAGCTAAAGAATTAAAATGACAAAGGAAGTTCATGAATTAAAGTTTATTTTTTTATCATCATTAAATAAATTAGAAATGAATTTTATCTATTGATAATGACAAAGAAGTATTTCATTAATTCTGTGCAAATATCTGCATGCATAGCCTTCTACATTTGAATTACTATAATCTTAAAATGCAATTAGCCGTTGAGTTTTTTAACTCAATAGTTAAAAATTAATTTTTAGAAAATACTCGCTTAGCTTAAATGGATAAACAAACGAATTTTTCTACAGAAACAGAATAAAAATTGAAAATAGTTATTGCAGTAAAATTATGTATCAACTTATATTTTAAAAATTTATTTTAGGAGAGAAAAAATAGATCTTAAGATATGTTTATAAATATAATTTTATCGTTTAATTGGGTCTTTTAAAAGTGAATGACTCGAAGCTTGAAATACATTTTGAATGCTATATAAACTTTCAATCAGGCAATCTATTCCTGCCTTGATATTTCAAGCTTCCATGATGGGTTGTGACATATTTAAGTATAAAGAACGCTACGAAGAGTGGGTAGGGGGGTCTGAATTTAAAAAAAAAAAATTAATACTTTCATTGTACTTATGCCCTAGTGTCATGTCATGCAAGCACAAATCAACATATCAATCACCATCTGGCATTCAACTTACTCTAGGCAACATCAAAAGAACAAGTAAAAAATCACTTATTTCTAATGGATAGTTTTATGGAAAATTAAGACTAAATAAAAGGAAGTATTTTACCATCAACAACATTTTCACTTCCAAAATCATTATTATACTTAACCCAACCATTGTGGCCAGCTTTTGGCATCTTTCTTCATTTATCCTTTTTTCAGTTCAAAATGAGGTGCGAAGTTAAGTTTATGCCTAGTCTTTTGCAAATCTTTAATCGTTTGGCCATATTAATTGTGGTTACTTATTTTTCCTTTTAGTCCTTTTGAATTGCATCTATCTGCCACCATTTTTCGTTAACATGCCAAATTAATTTACAAAATCTTCCATAATTTCAATATTAACTTCAAATATTTTTTGTTTCTCCCACTATACCTTGTAGTTTTGCAGCACAACAATCTAAAGTTTACGCCAATCAATTTTGTTGACATTGACTTATTAGCCATTTGAAACAATACAAGATAAACAATAAATAATAAATTTATAGAACTCGAACAAGCCTCCATAAAATTAGCTTATCATGGTGTGATCCCATGACATGTTTTAATTTTAATCATTATACTTTAAAATTTGAAGTCACCATCTTCACTTAGTTGTTAATTAAATGAATCCAAAAGACTTGAATATATTGCACTTATGTATTAACTCCTTCAAACATTTATGTCAGATAAGCGGCAATGTCATCTCCACTAAAATTAAAGAATCATATTCTCAGTCTTTGTACAAGCTATTCTGAGCACCATATCTTCCTAATTTACCTTCATGGTTCTAACTTTTACTTCAAAAGTTACCTCACATGTCAAAAATATATACAACTAGAGACACCACGATGCTTCATATTGAATATCTTTTATAAGCATTTCCATCTCAAATACCATAGAGTGCAAACTTTCAAACCCCCAATGTTATCCCAATAAAATCTTATTGTAGTTGAAAACTCTCAATCCCTACACAAATACTTTTAAGGATAGCAGTTGCTCCATTATGTACATCATTAGTTATTTTTACAAAGCTCCAACACACTTAACTTCTCCTTGGTGCCCGTCAAAACAATTATTGTGGTAATCAATGAAAATACAATGTCAAAATCAAAACCACATAAAGATCTGTTCCTTAAGGCATTCGACTAACAGTTTCAACACAAAAATGCCTCCTTAGTTGATCATCCTTGCATAAACCAGATACACTCTCCAATACTGAAGTAAAACTTATTAACATTTGTTCCATTATCCTCTCTTATAACTCCAATTTATGAATCACAAGTTTTGACCTACATAACTTAAGAAAACATCAGTTTATGTTATTCCACCATCTTTTAAGATTGCAGCAGTACATTTCCATGCTAAAAGACATGGTTAAAATAAAACAATTTTCTCACCAATGTCAATAAGCACAATACACACACCATCAATGCATGAAATGTACAATCAGTATCATTGAGAATTAGAAAAATAACAGAAACCACACTTCACAATGAGTATAAATCAGGAAATAATAAAGATAAGGTTATGGAAAAGTGGAAAGCATATGAAAAACATACTACTGAAAAACCATTTCGTGTCAAGTCGTCCAACGTTTGGCGTAAATTCTGCAACATAAAATGCATCGAAACAACATCAGTCAGCAGGCTTAAAAGAAACCAATGTTCCATGACAAAAAGTTCTTAAGAAGATTAAATAAGGCAAAGTACAAGTTGTGATACATTGAAATCAGAATAAAAAAGCAACTGATTTTATAAGACTAGTCAACAAGAACACATGCCGCAACAGGGCAACCAGCTTTTGGAATGCAATCTGACTGCAGACCACCACAGGGATTTAAGCCAGCATGCTCAACAAGAACACAAGCATCAAATCCAATTGCTTCATAAAATTCCCCAACCTGTAAGAATAAAGCATGTCATTGATTGCTTTACCAATTGAGGGCAAATAGTCTTACAAATAAAATATCAAAAATGCTGCAAAACTTTGCCATTGATCGCTACTTCTAAGAAAGTTTGGTCAGAATAATTGTATTTTCTAAAGATCAACTAGCTCTATGAAAATTTTTTTGTAAGATGCTATATCGATAATAAGTGTGACTTTGGGGGATCAAATTATTATTAAAAGGTGTGAACGATTTAGATATCTTGGGTCTGTTGTTCAAAGTGATGGTGATATAGATGGGGATGTTAATAGTAGAATTCAAGTTGGTTGGTTGAAGTGGAGGAATGCTTCAGGCCTTTTGTGTGATAGAAAAGTACCGCTTAGACTGAAAGGAAAATTTTATAAGACGGTGGTGAGACCTGCAATGCTCTATGGCGTTGAATGTTGGCCTTTAAAATAGAAGCATAATAATAAGTTAAGTGTTGCCGAGATGAGAATGATTAGGTGGATGAGTGGCTTTACACTTAGAGGAGACAAAATGAGAAATGAATATATTTGTGATATGGTTGGTGTAGCTCCTGTAACCGACAAAATTAGATAAAGTCGTCTTAGATTGTTTGGTCACATTAAACGTCGACCATCTGATGATCCGATTAGGAGAGTAGATGTTTTAGATTTGACTTGTGTTAAGAAAGGCAGAGGTAGACCTAGAAAGACTTGGGCTTATTGTATTAAAAATGATCTTAATTTACTAGAACTAAATGAAAATATGACACTAAATAGGACGCAATGGAGAAAAAGGATTCATGTAGCCGACCCCACGTAGTGGGATTAAGGCTTTGTTGTTGTTGTTGTTGTTGTTGTTGTTGTAACCTTGTTTAAAAAGATCATCATAGTTGGTGTCTACGATTTATGACACCAACTATCTTTTTGCAAGCAATAAGAGGAGCATCAGTAGGACTGACATTGATTGTCCAAGAGAGTCATGAGTTCAAGCAACTGACACAGAACATTTGATAACTCCATATAAGAGAATTTCAAGATTTTCAGACATGTTTATCTCCTAAGTTGTAGCTACTAAGAGAAATTCAATATGTCAGAGATTAGAATATTTTGAGCTACTTCTGGAAGGATACATGGAGTAATATATGTATTAAAATTTGTTCAGTTCTACAGTACCCCCAACAATTAGATAGCTAGAAGAGCATGAACTGCAGCATTGAAATCTTAAGTATTTTTTAGGAAAGAATATCCAACAGAGGGTTTCAGATTCTTCTAGAAAAGAAGATGCCTCTCCTCAATAGTTGTCATTGAAAGTTGGCGAGTTTGCACTAGTTTTCGTTATAGAGTTGATTCCTCTAGACAAAAGTGCTTATCTGATATACTTAATCGAGTATGAAGAATGGGTGAAGCAGGTTACAGATTTAATGGCTCGAGACTTAGTTTGCGATAAGACTCATCCGTGTGCAGTTCCGGTTTAGATTGTGCCAAAACAAAATGACTACTTATTGCATTAGGATAAATTTTGAATTGACAACACCTACAGGGTTAAATTACCAAGATATTGCATTATTTCTACTACATTCAGCGTGGCTGACCTAAGAATGAGGTTGAAGCTCCCCCAATCCCGGGAGAGTGACATAGGAGTGAGATCTCACAGTTCTGGGTCTGTGAGTAGCGCGGCACCCAAATCCCTTGCTGGCGGGATAAGCAACAGTTTTCTTTTTTATTATTATTTATTTCCATTTTAGAAAATTTTCACATTTCCTTTCCTTTGTAGTCATTTCCTATATATGTGTTATATTTGGTTTAAGGTTCCTAGGTTCTTATGTATGTTTCTTCGAGACCATCGTCGGTATATTTGGTTTTCCATTCTAGGATTTTATCCCAAGATCGAGTAGTGCTCTGGTTGAATCTCACTCCTGATGTGGTTATTATCCTTCCTTCAACCCTTATCACATCGCTCCCTGTCGCTCCCATCCTCCTTTCTTGCTACTGCCACCCAGAAAAGTTGTCTTTGTTATTCCTTCCTGCAATATTCTACCTTCTAACCATTTTCATAGTAATAATCAGATTTGTGAAATCAGGTAAATTTTTGGCAATTTTAAAATATATCACAAAATTTTGCATCCCTCATTATCCAACTAAATTAATTTTATGAAATTCTACGCGACAAATCTATCAATTTAATATAAAGCACTATACATAAATTACAAATAGATTTATAAAAGTCGAAAGTTAAAAGTTTACTTAAACTTTATTATCCCTTAATTACCCCTCCTTAATCTCGTCGTTACTGTACCCAACTGACTTACCCCGTGATATTTAACTCTATATAGAATTTAAAGAGTGAGATCCTCCATCAAGAAACTTCGCATTTCTTTCTCTCCCTCCCTCCCAATTCATAGCGCTCAGCAGAAGGCTCCTGCGAAGAGTTACGATTGCATCACTGTAGCACAGGCACGATCGCAGCAAAGTCGTGACTTGCAAGGTCCCGATCTGCAGCAAGCAAGCGACCCACCGAGAGCCGCAGCTCACTATTCAAACTTCGGAGATGAAATCGAAAGGTACGAGACTCACTTTAGCGATATTCTACACATTCCTTTTCAATCCACACACTTTCATTTTGAGAATTTCCATGAATTCTGCATCATTTTTGTTTTTGACCTCCGTGGTGGAGATGAGGTCGTGTTGGAAGCGAAGAAGTTAGTTTGAGCTTCTAGCATGAAATCAGCAAGATTAAGAGAGTAAGAAAAGATAGGAAAAGAGGGAAAAGAATTCGCAAGTTACGAAAAGGGCAGGTTGTCGTGAAAGCCATTTAAAGTACATTTAAATTAATCAGTTTTTTTTTTTTTGGTTAAATTCTTTATGTTTTAAAGTACATTTAAATTAATCAGTTTTTTTTTTGTTTTGGTTAAATTACTTTATTAGCCGAGATATTATGAAATCTTAAGATATTTATAGATTTCAAGTTATTTATCCAAGGTGGAGAGCTCAAGGTAAATTTGTGGAAACTAGTCATATGGCATCTCCGTAAAGTTTAGGTAAATTAATATTATGCCTTAGGAAAAAGAAATTTATTAATGAAATTTGCATGAATCATAAAGTTTGATATTATAATTTATAGGTTACTAATATCAACATAAAGATTATCATGACGCTCAACTAATTATTAAAAATTGAGAATCTAACATTGTTATTGAGGTGAATAATCATATTTCTAAATTTCAGTAAATTTCTTTATTTCAAAATATATATTTGACTCTATGGATGATCTAGTTTAGTTAGATCTTTCATAGAAAATGTATGCATGACAGAAAGATATACAAGATATGCATGAGATGCATGATGCGTATGAGATAACATATGCATGATAAGTACGATAGAAAAAAGTATGCATGATATGAGTAAGAGATATGCATGAGTAGAGGCATACATGATATGAGAACTATGTATGATAAATAGTTACACGGCATGTTATGAATGTATATCCCAGAAGAATGCATGTTATGAGGAATGAGATAGTTTATATATGAATGTTGGTCTGTACATGTTCAAAGGAATTCACTCTCTAATGGTACAAACAATGGACGCTAGTGTACCCTCGTGCATAGTTTTTCTACTACGCCAGATAATTGTGATGACTAGATCACTAACCGCTAGGCCGACAAGATAATATCAGTCAAGGGTGAATAGATAGAGCTTGCCTCCCTAGACAATTGTAATGTTTACATCGCTAACCGTTGTACAGGCGAGATAATATCAGCCAGAGTCAGGTAAAATCTTTTCCACCCAAGACAATTGTGATGACTAGATCGCTAACTGTTGTGCCAACGGGATAAAATCGGTCAAAGGTGTGTTAGGTTTTGTTGATGGTGACCCTCAAGGAGACATCTGCATGTAACAGAAAGATATACAAGATATGCATGAGATGCATGATACGTATGAGATAACTAAGACAATTGTGATGTCTAGATCGCTAACTGTTGTGCCAACGGAATAAAATCGGTCAAAGGTGTGTTAGGTTTTGTTGATGGTGACCCTCAAGGAGATTATAAAATAAAAGTTAAGTTAAAATAAATGCATATAAAAGATTTAAGTACTTTCATTTAAGATTACTGATACATGCAATCACACACACACACACACACACACACACACATATATATATGTATATAAGTTTTCTTATAAAAATATGAAATATTGGTATATTATAAGATATAAAGATATGAAAGATTATCATGCATATTGATTTCTTTTCCTTGGGTTACTGTAATTTAGAATTGTAATTACTCCTGGGTTATTTTTAGATAACTCATTATATTGTTTTAATATTTTTTTAGGTTTTAAGCATTTGAACAAGATGAATAGAAGAGGAACAAATATGTATTAAAGGCGAGAACAGTAGAAAAAGTATAAATATTTCTTGTTAATTACATTGTAATTACATTGTTTTTTTTAGTGACTCTATTATTAATATTTGAATATTAAACTGTTAATGACAGAAATATAATAAAATATAATTGATTTTCACCATCCGATCATCCGTTCCCATCTTGATTAATTTCAAATATCGGGTCGGATCATGACAAAAATGATATCAGAGCAAAAAATTTAGAGTAAATAACATAAATCTTAATGAAGAGTCAAATAGGATGATTAGATTAAGTTATACAAAACAAACAACGAACAACAACAAAACCTTTATCCCACTAAGTGGGTTGGGCTACATAAATCCTTTTCCTCCATTGCATCCTATTTAGTGTCATATTTTCATTTAATTCTAATAAATTAAAATCATTTTTTATATAATATGCCCAAGTCATCCTAGTTCTACCTCTGCCTTTCTTATCATAAGTCGAATCTAAAACATCTACTCTTCTAATCGGATCATCAGATGGTCGACGTTTAATGTAACCAAACCATCTAAAACAGCTCTCTCTAATTTTGTCCGTCACTGGAGCTACACCAACCCTATCACGGATATATTCATTTCGCATTTTATCCTTAAGTGTA